TTTTAGCTCTCCATACCTTTTTGCTCATTTTATACTATCCATACCATCGGCGCTCCATACATGACACGGTCACATCGCACAAAAGACTTGTGACCCCGTTCTAGTTCATGACTGTGCGGGTTGGTACGCTGTTAAAAAAAATATGCAGGGTAACCGACCTTGACTCGCCTATTGTACTCGGGTTGAATAGCCTGTCACTACTGAATTTAGCTTTGGAAATTTCCAGAAAACTATTTCGCAATTCAGTACTTCCGTCTGTGGTGCAATTCAGTATTTCTGCGTCATTTCAGCATGAGATGTCGATATGTACAGACGTACAAAAGACTTGTGACCCCATTCTAGTTTATGACTGTGCGGGTTGGTACGCTGTTAAAAAAAAATATGCAGGGTAACCGACCTTGACTCGCCTATTGTACTCGAGTTGAATAGCCTGTAGCTTTAAAAATTTCCAGAAAAATTATTTCGCAATTCAGTATTTCCGTCTGTGGTGCAAATCAGTATTTCTGCGTCATTTCAGCATGAGATGTCGATATGTACAGACGTCAACGCTCAACCTGCAGTCACCAGCCAAAAGGTAAATTGTTTTTAACGTTAAAGTCTGGCAATAATGTAGGTTTTCATATTGATTTGTTCTCTATAAAAACAACAACCAATACTACACAAACACTAAAAGTCTAGCCACCCGTGTGTGTGATGTTTCTGATCAAACATTGAGTGTAAATGCTTTTTTCACTTCTAATATTTTCAGATGATGACCCCCATCACAACCTGTGAAAAAGAGGATAGGCTGCTTTATAACTTTGCGTCGGGTTTATCGCACAAGCAAGATTTTTCAAAGTACCGCTAATTCCAATGTTTTAAGTGTAAAAAGATAAGATTTTTATATACAAAGTTCACTAATTTTCCTCTGTATTGACTAACAAGCCCCCAGATAGCAATTTCATGTCATCAAAGTCAATTTGAGCAGTGAGAAAATACAAGCATTTTCTTAAAAAACACTTAAAAATTTTTCAGTCCAATCTCATAGGGTTTGTACACAGGGTGTTGAGTGAACTTCGTATATAAAAATCATTGACAAAAACGCTTAGTCACTAAATATATTGTGATGTCATCACTAGTTCTTTGAACTAGTGATGACTCATGCTTATGAATAAAATTTGTTTAACAAAACAAAGGGCAGCAGCACTTCCCTTTTTATCAATAGAACTAGTGATGACATCATGCTTATGAATAAAATTTGTTTAACAAAACAAAGGGCAGCAGCGCTTCCCTTTTAGTTCAATAGAACTCTGACATCATTTTTGATCTATATATATATATATCTATATTTTTTTTATATTATATGTTGTTAAAGTTATATGTTTTAATGGTAAAGTCAGCCGTTTTTCATAAAGTAAAAAACTCAGACATGTAAGCCTAAAAGCGTTGTTTGTCTATTTATTTATAAGTATTGATAGAGGGCGCCACCAGTTGCTGTGAGTCTGTGTAAAGATCTCCAAGACGGCAAAAGATATTAGATAGTAAGTGCCTGGTCTGGTGCTTGACAGAGGGAGATATGGGGTTTGTCGCCGTACCCTCCACTTATAATATAACAACTCGGAGAGAGATTTATTTTAGAGAGCTAGAGGGGGAGATATATTTGGGGAGGGGAGACCGATATATTGGGAGAGGGATCTATTTGGGGGCGGGGGTCATTGGGAGGGGAGGGGGACAATGGGAGGAGGGCAGAGACGGGGAAGGGGGTAAAGTCTGATACCCTGACTTCTCCCCAATGGCCCTGTACTACCCACAGACCTATGGCAAAGTCTGGTACCCTGACTTCTCACTAATGGCCCTGTACTACCCACAGACCTATGGCAAAGTCTGGTACCACCCATCCCCTACTACTAAAGGAGAGGCGATGAAGGGAGTATCGACAGGACGGAAAAGAACGGAATGATTGTCAGGACGCGTCTTGGCAATCACAGCAGTACTGTTACCGTGAATCCGATCCCGAGATTCAATTTCGTCGAGAAAATCAGTATTGGAACACAGAAGAATCGAGGCGAAGAATGCCACTATGTAACCACTCTGGTAGAGGCAGAGCCGATCTTCAGACTGATCCTGAAGGAAACAATCGACAGCAGTATGCCGATGAATGGCAAGACCCACAATACCGCACGAACCGTTATGAGCGCGGTCGTGGTGACTCCGGAGAAAGGTTGCACTACGATGGACTGGTTAGCAGGCAGCATGTGATAAGCCGCAGAGAAGTTACGCTAGATAGGTTCCACGGGAAGATTTCGTGGAAGGACTATCGAAAACATTTTGAGGCTTGTAAAGCCGTCAATAGATGGACGAGAGAAGAGTCTGTGTATCAACTCGCCACCAGATTACAGGCACCGGCATTTCAGGTCCTTGGAAATTTTCTACAGATGGAACATCCAAATTACGATGAACTTGTTTCTCAACTCGAAATGAGATTCGGTCCAGGTGAACAAGCAGAACAGTTTCTTGCACAACAAGAATTAGGACAGGCAATCAGAGATTGTCAGCAATGGCTTATCCCGAACTGCCTTGCAACGTTCGTGAAAGGTTGGCGAAGGGGCATTTTGCAGACGCCATGGAGGATCCAGAGATCAGGGCCGGGATATTTCGGGCACGGCCGCAAACTCTAGAACAAGCTGTAAGGGCTGCCCTTGATAAGGAATCATTTCTTAAGGTAGAGAGAACCCCAGGTAAGGGACGAGCTAACAAATTCACATGTGCCATTTCTGGTGCCGGCGAGCAGGGTAACAGTATGCCGAAAGAGCTGGTTGAAGTGAACACGAAGTTAGGAGATGTAATGAAGATGGTGGACCAGTTGCGGTGGGAATTGCGAAGTGGTAAATCCCAAGAACGCAAAAATCCACAAGAACGAGGTGATCGGGAGAAATTTCTAAAAATCAGTGACGTGTTTTGCTTGCGGTGAGAAAGGACACTACGCCAGGGACTGTGTTAGAAGTGGCGCAAGAGTACAGAACCAGGAAAACGGATTCGGGCGAACTCAACCATGGGAACGCCGACAACGAGGCCCTGGACAGAAAGCACAGTAAAAGACGACTTGAGGAAAGAACCGAAATTGTACCCAGCAACTACTTTTGGGAAGAGAAACAGAAGGACTTGGACGACCAACTACATGTATATATTTACAATAGTGAACATTAACTAAATGGCATCATCTAGGTCCGGAGTGAAGCATCAGCTTTTGTTCCCCAGCCTATGGACAGATAATAATAATAATAATAATAACACGATTTATAGCGCGCATTTTCGCAAGTAACAATGCGCGACTTAGGACAACTCCAGAAGACAATTTACAGATTATGTGGAGAAAACAGATCAGTTTTCAGTCTGCCCTTAAAGTTGTCAAGAGAACTGATGTTGCGGATGTTGTGTGACAAGGAATTCCAGCATCGGGGACCAGACACTGAGAAGGCCCTGTCCCCTGCCTTTTTGAATGTGCGTGGAACTCTAAGGTTGTTACTGGAGCGGAGGCCACTACGGCTGAGCTGGGTGTATTAGGTTGAGTGATCCCATTATGTACTGCAGCATTGTGTTATGAAGTGCTTTGTGCATGAAAAATGCTGTTTTGAAGTTGATGCGTTGTCTAACTGGTAACCAGTGTAATTGTTGAAGGAGAGGCATGTGTGTATTTGGGTTGAGATAATGTGATACGAGCAGCATTGTTTTGAAGCCGTTGAAGTCGATCAACCTCATACTGATTAATACCATTGAGAAGAGAGTTGCAATAATCGAGTCTGGATAGTACAAGTGCTCGGACAGCGGCGTGGCATGTGTTTGTGTCTATTAGGCTGTCAGCTGGACTGGAAAATTCGTTCGTTTCGCTCCAGCAATCGCGGGTCTAAATTTTTTTAACAGTTGTACCGAAATATACTACCAAAAAATGATACTACAAAAGTTCTCCACATTTTGTCCAGCAGTTTTTTGATAATTTGACTCGAAAAAGCGAACTATTGGTCCATTGTGGACGTTCAAAAACGTACCGCGCCTACGTTAAAAAATCCGCCGCGTATGACGCATCGTACCACGTGACGTGAACTCTCCAATTAGACACCAGATATGAGGTCGCAGGTCATGATATTTAAGAAACATGGCGGCATCCATTGGCAAAAGTGCGTCAACGTAAACATCGACCGGTGCAAAATAAAAGTGTTTGCACACATAATCTGTCACGTTTGAGGGGGAAATGCGAAGGAGCTGATGTCCGGTGATAGTAAGTTCATTTCCTGTGCCAAAGAGTGGCTGAATTTCACAATGGCATCGCCGAATATACCCACGATGTGTGGGCAGTGGATCTGCTATGTCTGTACAGGACTACATCATGCACTACCGGCACATGTAAACAAGGCAGTCCGGCCGGCCGATCTCACCCGTGGCGGTTTTTATAGATAGTAAACGTCTCGGTGCTGCAAGAAAACGCATACTAGACACTTCAGCTGAAACCCAGATTTCTTCACCGAAAAAGCTCCGGGCAAAGTTCAAGTTTCTTTTAATTGCCTATCTACATAACTGTGTCATGGTGCACACAAACTCAACCAGGATTTTGATTTCGATGAAAACCTCAATTCAAGGACAAGCTTCAACAGTACAACAAGCAGAACTTCCGTTGAAGGTAGGCCTTCATGTCATTATAATGAAGGCGATTGTGTATTTATGTGCCCCAAAAAAGAACCAAAAAATCCATGTTTGGGTTTAATTGTCTTGAATTAATAAGGGTAAGGTTAGGTTTTAATTTCTTAATTGAGGGAAACTGGGGTGACACAACGATAAAAACGCGATGCGAAAACAAAGCTGGTGGTCACCACGATGCACCGTGAATGCAAAGAACCGCATCGATTTGGATGGCGACAACTGAAAATGCATAGGAAAATGTTATTTTCTTGCAAAAGATTCCATTCAAAATGATAACAGATTTTGGTTATAAAAAAACACCTTTTTCTTTCTCTACGGCACTTGTTTACCGAATGGTTCTTGGACTTTACTTTCCTTTTAGAAAAATTCTCTTAAGTCAATGAAGAAAAATGTCTTCAATGACAAATAGATCTTATTTGAAAAACCCAGTAAAAAAAGGGTGGTTTTTTTTTTAGTTCCATGATTCAAACCGAGTACCTCTGGCACTGAAAATAAATGTCTAACATTAAGATGCCAAAGTACAACGGGTACTGCACAAAATCCCATAATAAAATGTTGTGCAGTCTCTTTCTCCATTGTTGAAGGATACTTTTATGGAGGTGTGAGGGTAGTCTTTCCCTTTGTATAAAATAGCAAAATAGCTTTTTATAGAATTTACTATTTGATTCTATATATATAAAGGAAAAGGGAGATGTTCTGCGACTGACTGTTCAACCCCGATGAACAACTTAGTTTCATGAGAATGTCCCAGCTTGCTGAACTGTTGGAATCATGAAATGATTTAGAAGCAGAAGGAACTGGCCTTGGATCTTTATATCGGTAAGATGTTTTGATTGTTATTCAGAGTGCAAACAGAAATAAACTTTAATAGAATATTCAAAATGAAAACTTCTTGATATTGCTTTGGAAGCTGAAAAAGGTTGGTCCTCAATAGCTACCAATGTTTACATATTCACAGTGGAAGGCAAAACGATCGGGCACATGATCTTTCTAGTAATTTAACTCTAGATTGAACACGTTGTTTTCTTTCTTCTAAAGCACATCCACAGTAATCATTGTTTTTGATCATCAGATACTAAACCTTTCTATATTTTACTATTTTTTTTTTACAGAACTGATAGGTTGACATATCGGCTTAGAAGAGAATATCCACAGGTCTCTTTCCTTGATATATGCGACATCATCTACACCGCTACTTTATCTGCTGGAGGTGTGGTTGAATCTCTGGCGACTTCAGAGGAGGATTCAAAACTGAAACTTTGGCTCAGAAAGCAAGACTTACGCTCCATCCTGTTGTTATGCCGTTACTGCACAAGATTTGATGAAAACTTTGATGTAGTGATAACATTTACTTGAAGTTGTATCAGCATGACTAGTTAGCATTTGACATTATAATGAAAATAATGAGTAACTCTAGATTTCAAAACTACATAATTGTATCCTTCTGTTCATTAGTGTTGGTTTTATTCATTTTAATTCTTTTCATTTGTTAAAAATTAGTTCCAGTAGAAAGGCAAATTCTGTGAATTTTAACAGTGAGACTAGCCACATATGACAAGCCAAATCACTCTCTTTAATGTGTAAGCATACAACATAGCATGAGTTATGGTTTTGTTTTCTTTTTATTGATATACATGCAAACATTTTTCGGTGCTAATCAATGTATCAATAAATAAAAAGCTGAAATTTTCTTTGACAAAAGACTGATCTTAAGGCTTTTTTCCAAACCAAGATGGCTGTTTTGATTAGATAGCAAATAAATGTACAATGGTTGATTTTTGAAATTATTAAACCAGACTCTGACTTCTGATGGTCCTTTGATTTATAATTGTATTTAAAGCCTGTTTCATTCCACAAAAAAGTAGAAGGTTCTTTAAGTGACGTACCTGGTTCACCACAGCAGATTCAGAGGGTTTTGGGGGCATAGCACCCATTTTTCCAAAAAATGTTTTTATATGCGTTAGGTTGCTTTGTTTAAAGGGGCATGTCTTGTCCGCTTTCCTGTTTCTTCTGCTGGTTACATGTCCAGGTATTTATTTACTCCAAAGACACCTCCATTTTGGGCACCCCCTCACTTTCATTAATGATGAGCTGGTTCCACCACTGCATTATAAACCTTCAAAATAATTGCATTGTTGTATGCTGCCAAATAAGTTAGATTACAGTGAAATATTTTTGGAAGAGGGACTGTGGTGATGTCTACCAGATGACCAGATGAGAAAACAAAGTGTCATGTTCTGTGTGACCCAATTGCCAATGTACATAAAATATATTTTTTAACTCTAAAATCTCCTGGGTCAGATTGACCCAGAATCTGAATCCAAATTTGCTCAGTCCTTTTCTGGGTAAAAAAAATACACATTTCAGTCAAAATGACCGAGAAACATGTCTTTTTTTTACTCCAACATGTCCAAAGGGGTCATTTATGACTCCAAAAGGGGTCAATTTTCGACCCGGAAAAGGACTGAGCAGACTGAGTCTGACCCAGGAGTTTCTAGAGTGTAGGATGCGACAAGCTATAGTGCTGTACGTGCGTAGTTTTTACATTGGAAGTGCCAACGCAAGGCCTCAAACCGGATAATGTGGGTTTTTAGCATACATACATGTACATAACATTGGCAAACTTTGATGAAGTGTAAAAAAAAAACTGCTGCATATTTGCTGGAGAACTTTTGACATAGTGTTTGTGATGTACTGAACCCCACATATGTGCATTAAAAAAGTAGACCCAGTGTTGCTGGAACGAAACTCATTTTACAGCCGGTTTTTGAATTTCAGCTGACGGCCTATATGTATTTACGAATCTTGGATATGTTCCTGTTGTGGTAGTTGATAGATTTGCATACGTTTGCTACGTGTTTGCTCATTGTCATGGAACTGTCGAAAACAACACCCAAGTTTCGGACTGTCTGAGATGGTTTGATTGCTGTGTTACCTATCTGCAGAGTTATGTTGGTTAAGTGTTTCTGGTGATGATGAGAAGATGCGGCAATGAAAAATTCAGTTTTATCCTCATTTAACTTGAGTTTGTTTGTTATCATCCAATTCTGCACATCGGTGATGCAATTTGACAATCTGAAAAGTGCACAAGCTGCGTCGTTCGGTTTGGATGGATTGAAATCGAGATAAATCTGGATGTCATCTGCATATATGTGGTATTTCACATCATGTCGGTGCAGGACATCACCAAGAGGAATCAGGTACATGGTGAAAGCGAGTGGGCCAAGGACTGACCCTTGAGGGACGCCAAAATGGATATGGCTCTCATCTGAGTCGACCCCTGCAACGGTGACATAACTCCTTCTATTTTTGAAATAGGAGGCACACCACTTGAGAGCAGTACGTGTTATGCCAAACCGGTGATGGAGGCGACGTAGCATAATGCCATGATCAAGAGTGTCAAATGCAGCAGACAAATCAGGCATTACTAAGAACATAGCCTTATTATTATCAAGAGTTTTCAAAATGTCATTTTGAACACAAAGCAATGCAGTCTCTGTGCTGTGGCCAGCTTTGTAGGCGGACTGAAGGGGATCGGCAAGGGCATGAGTGTTGATATTGTAGAGTTTGCAGAATCCAGTATAGGTGGCGCTGTTTACTTGTAGTGGAGGTTGGGGTCAGCGCAAGTCAGCGTGAAATTGGCGCGAAAAGTGCGTGCGTGAGCGCGCGGGTTGTTGCTGTACAGATCTTGGTTGTGAAGGTTGTTCCGAAATGCCAGCTCCGTGCGGAAACACCCCAGGCTCCACGTTGCGATTACCAGTATAGTGCAGATAAAGGTAAATCACAAGTAATACTGATATCGTGTGTTCATTGTTTGGATGTTTGGAGGAAAGAATTAGAAGATAAGAAACCGGAATATTGGTGTCATTTGTGTCTTATTCTGTCTGTCCACTGAATAAAATTGAACCCCCGAAAACGCTACATTGGTGGCAGCGGTGAGTCCGCTTCTGTTTCGAGTAAATTTTCTCGTAGTTACGATTCCCTGATTGATCCACCGACATGTCAGACACCAACCCAATGCACCCTTCCACTCGTCCATCCATGCCCCCTCCACCCGTTTCCCTCCCGACACCGTGGTTCCATACAATTCCCCCCATTTTCCCTGCCCCGCAAGGCGACATGTCAAGTTTTGTAGTTGACATGCCGCATGAAGTTCCCCGTGCAGCTTTTGATCCGGAGTACTCATTCCTGTCGCTACCGGGGATCCTCCCGCCAGCGACCGGCTCATTGCAGTGGACAACCGCAGGGTATCCGGCCGACGCCTCCACGCCCACACCGTCACCCCACAGCAGAGCATTGGAGCAACCACTCTTTCACGGCGCCGCATCATACGATGGAGCCACCGATGCACCGATTGGTCCACCGATCGTTTCCTCACCGCTCGTCGGTACAAGGCAGGTACATGGAGTCAACGGGGACACGACAAGCCAGCACAGCAATGGCTCCGCAGTGCAACCGTGGCACGACGGACAAGGGCGACTGCACTTCGATGGCGGTTCAATGATAATACCAACGGCTGGCGCACCGGATATCGATGCCACGGTTGTGGGGGCACCGACGGGTTCATCGGTTGCACCGACCGGTTCATCGTTCGTCAATCCACAGTTCATAGGTGAGCACCACGAGCACGGAGCAAGGGGCGTCGGTTCGGCGCAGCAACCCATGGGAGTCGGTCAGCGACCATGGAACGGTACCCCAGGGTATGATTATGTTCGTGCCGCTGGCGGTTCAGGGGTCATACCGACGGCCAATGCGCCAGGTGGCGATGCGTCGGCTTTCAGAATACCGACGGGTTCATCGGTAGCACCGACCGGTTCATCGGTTGTCAATCAACAGTTCATCGGTGCACACAACGAGCACGGAGCCACAGGCGTCGGTTCGGCGCAGCAACACATCGGAGTCGGTCAGCGACCATGGAACGGTACACCAGGGTATGATAATGTTCGTGCCGCTGGCAGTTCGAGGGTCATACCGACGGCCAATGCGGCAGGTAGCGATGCGTCGGTTTTAAGGGTACCGACAGGTTCATCGGTTGCACCGACTGGTTCATCGGTTCTCAATCAACAGTTCATCGGTGCACACCACGAGCACGGAGCCACAGGCGTTGATGCAGCGCAGCAACACATTGGAGTCGGTCAGCGACCATGGAACGGTACACCAGAGTATGATAATGTTCGTGCCACTGGCGGTTCAGGGGTCATACCGACGGCCAATGCGCCAGGTGGCGATGCGTCGGTTTTCAGGGTATCGGCGAATTCATCGGTTGCACCGCCCGGTTCATCGGTTGTCAATCAACAGTTCATCGGTGCACACAACGCGCACGGAGCCACAGGCGTTGGGTCGGCGCAGCAACACATTGCAGCAGGTCAGCGACCATGGAATGATACACCAGGAGTCGGTCAGCGAAATGTTCGTGCTGCTGGTGTTTATCCTCAACGATCAAACACAAGTCCGTTTGCAGCAGCTGCAGGAACTGTAGATCGACCAGTGCAGGGGCGGTTGCGTCCACCTATGCGACCCGATAGATACAATGGGACGACTTCATGGACTGCATACTATCGACACTTTGAAATGTGTGCCAGTATTAACGGATGGGGGAGATAGAGTATCTTGCTGTATCCTTGGCCGGTGCAGCCCAACAGGTGCTGCAGGGTCAGACAAACGATGGGACACCGTTAACATTTAGCGGTCTGGCGAATGCTTTGAAAGCAAGGTTTGAACCAGATGGACGGAAGGAACTATATAGGGTGCAACTTAAGAACAGGCGCCAGAAAAATGGAGAAACTCTGTCGGAGCTCGCACAGGATATTCAGCTTCTCGTTGACAAGACTTTCGGCGAGCTTCCAGCCGCCGGGGTGGCGACAATGGCCAGAGATTATTTTCTTGATGCTTTGGCAGATGGAGACACGCGGACACGGACGCTTCAAATGCGTCCCTGTAATTTAGAAGAAGCACTCACATCTGCGATCGAACTTGAAGCGATAAAAGGTGCTGAGCAGGAGAACAACACCAAGAGACTACGCTCCATAGGGGGAGGGAAGAAAGAGGTGATTGTCAATGAGGTCGGCAAATGTGAACCCCACGACAGTGCCGTATCCAAGCTTGAGCAGCGTATGGAAGAGATAGGCAAACAGCTACAGTCTTTGATCCGGCGAGAAAATGACTCCCGAAAGAACCAGAAAGGATGTTTCAAATGTGGAGAACAGGGCCACTTCAAGCGGGACTGCCCCAAATGGCGCACCCAAAAGACAGAAACAGAACAGCAGGGAAACGAATAAAGGCTGACTCCGAGGGCCGACGGTCAGCCAAGCATGAAAGGCCACCACAGAAAGTGTTTTATAGCGGAACCATAGCCCCGGTTGGGGCGGGCCTCCATGTACCTGGGCACATCAACGGAACTCCAGTAGAAATGCTTCTCGATACGGGTGCGACTATCTCCATCGTTTCTAAAAGAGTGGAAGGTCAGTTGGATAACAAGCCAATAATCAAGAGTTCTAGCGTGCAAGTTTTCCAAGCAAACGAGACATTGCTAAGTGTTTATGGGGAGGCAACAGTCGAGCTTCAGCTAGGTGGTAGAAAAGTGCACCACGAAATGGTGATAGCTGATATTCATAATGACATTCTTCTTGGATTGGACTTCCTGGACAAGCACAACTGCGTCATCGACGTTGGAAGAAGACACCTCGTGTATGGAAATTTGGAAGTTCCTCTGAGAAACATCAACGTACGGCAACAGAGCTGCCGAGTGACGGTGAAAGATACAGTAGCTATCCCACCTTTTTCTGAGATTGTTGTAGAAGGTGACATAGAGCAACAGAACTGTGCAGTTGGCGTTGGGATTGTTGAACCGATCCAGAGCTTACTGAAGAAGCACAGCATACTTCTCGCCCCAGCAGTGACTCGGTCTGATACGTCTTGGGTTCCGCTTCGCATCTTAAACCCCAGTGAGGACACAGTTATCTTGCGAAAGGGAACAGCAGCGGGTTTGTTCCAGACCGTAGATGTTATTGGCCCCCCAATTTCCAGCACAGAAGTGGGAACTGGTGAAACTGTCGGAGAAAGGGTTGAACAAGTTACGGCAGAGCGGAGGACAGATACACAGAATGGCCAACTCCCAGAAACAATGCAGGAAATGTTGCATCGTGCCTCGTCCCAATTAAGCGAGGAGCAGAGGGGCCGCATAAACAGGCTTATTTGCGAACACCGAGATGTGTTTTCTCAACATAAAGGAGACATTGGCCTTACTTCATTAACTGAACACTCCATAGACACCGGAAGTGCGAATCCCATAAGACAAGGGGCTCGTCGCATACCCCTCCTTCAGAAAGAGACGGTAGAGAAAGAAATCAAGAAGATGATGGACGGTAGCATCATAGAACCGGCATCCGGACCTTGGGCAGCGCCTATTGTGCTCGTGAAAAAAAAAGATGGTTCAGTTCGATTCTGCGTTGATTATCGTAGGCTCAACGCCATCACCAGGAAGGACGCTTATCCAATACCCCGAATAGACGACTCATTCGAAACACTTGAAGGATCCAGATATTTTACAACATTGGACCTAGCCTCGGGGTATTGGCAAGTACCAATGAGCGCGGCAGACAAGGAAAAGACAGCTTTCTCAAGTCATTGCGGGCTGTACCAGTTTAGGGTCATGCCGTTTGGGCTTTGCAATGCCCCGTCGACTTTTGAACGTCTAATGGAGAGAGTCCTCCATGGGCTACAGTGGCAGATATGTCTTGTGTACCTAGATGACGTCATTATATTCTCCAAGACATTTGAGTCGCACATTGACAGACTGGGAGTGGTGCTAGATCGCATAAGGCAGGCCGGACTGAAGCTCAAGCCGGATAAATGTCATCTGCTTCAGGAGGAGGTTTCCTACTTGGGGCATATTGTCTCAAAAGGGGGAGTCAAGACAGATCCAAGCAAGACGCGGCAAATCGAGGAATGGCCAGTACCAAGAAACATACAGGAGGTGAGAAGTTTCTTGGGCCTGGCATCATACTACAGAAGGTTTGTAGCTTCCTTTGCAGAAATTGCCAGACCACTTCACAAGCTCACAGAAAAAGACAAGGACTTCAGGTGGACGCATGACTGCCAATTGGCTTTCGAACAACCGAAACAGCGGCTCACTTCTGCTCCGGTTTTGGCATACCCGAAGCTTGACGCAGAATTCATTCTGGACACCGACGCCAGCAATAGCGGTATAGGTGCTGTTCTTAGCCAACTGCAAGATGGTCAGGAGCGCGTAATTGCTTACGCCAGTCGTGCCTTGTCAAAGCCAGAGCGAAATTACTGTGTAACGAGAAAGGAGTTGCTTGCTGTCGTACACTTCATCAAACACTTTCGACCTTACTTATATGGGTGCCGCTTTCTTCTTAGAACAGATCATGGATCTCTCCGGTGGCTCTTCAATTTCAAAGAACCAGAGGGGCAGGTTGCAAGATGGCTGCAAGTGCTGGCAGAATATGACTTCAATATTGAACATCGACCGGGACGCAAGCACAGCAATGCCGATGCCATGTCAAGAAGGCCGTGCACTTGTACACGGTGTAAGGGCAACCAAGTTGAGCAAGGATACGACAGCGGGGAACAGCCATCGCATGAGGGACGGACACAAGTTAAGGGAGACCAGCACCATAGCACAAAGGAGAAATGCCAACAAATAGAAGGGCTGTGGAAAATTCAAGAGCAAGATCCAGACCTGCCAACTGAACCAGTCCATTCACTACTTGCGCAGCATCATACACACAGTTCAGACAGCAGTCAGTTCATTCGTGAGGTGTCGTCTTTCTGTTGGCTGAAAGGTTTCACTGCTTCGGAGTTGAGAGAAAAACAAACAGGTGACCCGACTCTGCAGAAGATCATAGGCTGGCTGGAAAGTGGAAATCCACGACCAACTTGGAGAGAGGTGTCTGCTGAGGGTACATGGCTCAAAACCTTATGGGGGGCATGGCAGCAGCTTTGTTTGCACGACAGAGTGTTATACAGGCGTTGGGACGAGGATGATCGGCACCACTCTCGGTGGCTTCTAGTAGTCCCCAGGTCCCTCCGTGCGGAAGTTTTCAAGCAACTTCATAACGACCCTACAGCTGGCCACCTCGGCATTAACAAAATGCATGCAAAGGTGAAGTCCAGATTCTTCGTAGAGGACTTGAGAGACTCAGTGGTTACGTGGTGTACCCAATGCCTCCAATGTGCCAAACGCAAACCTCCTCCCAACAGGGGCAGAGCACCAATTAGACAACAGGTCTCAGGGGTTCCGATGGAAAGGGTCGCCATTGATATTACAGGACCATTTCCAATCACAGAAACAAGAAAAAACCGATACATCCTTGTCATCACGGACTACTTCTCTAAGTGGACGGAGGCCTTTCCCCTACAGGATGTTACAGCCCAGACGGTTGCCAATGTCTTTGTCAGAGAGTTTGTTTCTCGATTTGGTGTACCGCGACAGCTGCATAGCGACCAGGGTCGCCAATTCGAGAGCAGGCTGTTTCAAGAGATGTGTGTACTCCTTGGAATAGATAAGACCAGGACAAGTCCTCACCATCCCCAAAGCGACGGCCAAGTGGAACGATTCAATCGCACGCTTAAAGACATGCTGAGCGCCTATGTTGCTGAAAATCAGTTGGACTGGGACCTTCATTTACCACTAGTGATGATGGCATATCGGGCATCAGAGCATAGCAGCACTGGACAAACACCCAACTATCTCACTTTTGGTAGGGAAGTAGAACTCCCGGTAGACCTGGTTTTAAGATCCCCAGAAGAACCCCAAGAAATCACTGAATATGTCATACACCTGAGAGAAAGAATGCACGAGGCCCACGAGAAGGCACGAGTACACCTTCATAAGGCCGCAAAGCACCAAAAGCGGAATTACCAAGTAGCAGGCAAGCCGAAGTGTCTGGAACCAGGGACTGCTGTGATTTTGACAGTTGAGCAAAGAACTGTTGGGCTGTCTCCCAAGCTCCAGCCAAGATGGGAAGGCCCATACCTTGTAACTGAAGTGCTAAATGATGTCAACGTCAGAATCCAACGAGGATCACGCCATAAGCCCAAAGTTGTCCATATTAATCGTCTGAAGCGCTTTGTGGGTGAAGTGGACAAGTCATGGTGGAGGCCAAAGAGCCCTGCATTACAGCAACTTCCTGGGTCCGAGGAGCTCGAAGAGGAGGGGGAAGAGGAAGCCCCTCGAGTTGTTCTGCAGCCGAATTCTTCTGGTGGAGGCAAGGAGAGCCAAGAGGTTACCACAGAAGGGTTCTCACAGGAATCGGCAGAAGACCACAACATGCAGGAACATATGGAAATCGTCAATGGAGAGATAGGGGATCCACCAGTTGCTGAACCTAAGAAAGTTTCAGACACAGACGGTCATCAGGAATGGCACAACAGAAAACATCGACCTCCTCAGCGTTATGGCGAATGGACCGAATAACATTTTTAACTACGGAGCAAATACGAATTAATCTAATCCCCTGTTCTCTGTTGTATTCTCTGCAGATGCCGAAAAGAAGTCACAGCCGTCATCGCCGGGATTCTCCTCGCCGATCGCCCACACCTGACCGAACCCACCAACGACATGATGAACGAGCGGAAAGCTGCAGGTGCCTCGAATGCGATAAGTCATTTGGGGCCAAGTCAGCATTGGCAAGGCACATGGCCGAACAACACCAACCACGTGATCGGTTCCCCTGTCCGTTTTGCGACATAATCTACGGCCGGAAAAACGACTTGGCGAGGCACATCCGACGGGCTCACACAGGCAATCTTGATGCAGGCAACCAGTCGCCGGTATCAGTCAGCAACTCCCCCAAAGCTCCCAAGACGCCCGAGATCTCCAAGACGCCCGAGAAGAAGTCCGGACCGTGCCTGGAATTACACCCGTCTCCAGATGACGTGAGGCGTTTGGCTTCGCCACAACGTGCAACATCCTTAAGGAGAGTTCTCATACCCCCAAGTTCTGCAACGGTTTCAGGCCAATCAGATGAGGCAACAGGAAAGCTCGTCAAGCGGAGGCGCATTTTCGACCTCTACGATGAGGATTCCTTGATCGCGAGGATTACTTCGGAGGAATTCTTTCAGGAGTAGGACATGGTGGTCCACTTATAGTTTTAACTGTTCTTGTTGTTTTTTAGAACCTTAACTTGTTAATGGCGTTTTTCTAGTTATAACTTTGTTGTTCGTGAATGCGGAACGCATTCTTTCCCCGGGGAGGGGATGATGTAGAGTTTGCAGAATCCAGTATAGGTGGCGCTGTTTACTTGTAGTGGAGGTTGGGGTCAGCGCAAGTCAGCGTGAAATTGGCGCGAAAAGTGCGTGCGTGCGCGCGCGGGTTGTTGCTGTACAGATCTTGGTTGTGAAGGTTGTTCCGAAATGCCAGCTCCGTGCGGAAACACCCCAGGCTCCACGTTGCGATTACCAGTATAGTGCAGATAAAGGTAAATCACAAGTAATACTGATATCGTGTGTTCATTGTTTGGATGTTTGGAGGAAAGAATTAGAAGATAAGAAACCGGAATATTGGTGTCATTTGTGTCTTATTCTGTCTGTCCACTGAATAAAATTGAACCCCCGAAAACGCTACAATATGTTGCTTGAGTTGCAGGCAGACGACCTTTTCGATGAGCTTAGCGAGGTAGCGAAGGTTGGACACTGGCCGGTAGTTGCGAAGTTCATCTTTATCAAGAGAAGGCTTCTTTAAGATCGGCATGATCATTCCGACTCAAAGTGCCTCAGGAAAATTCCCGGATGAGAGGGAAGCGTTCACGATTTCAGTCAGTGTTGGAAGTAGGATTTTGATGTGCTGTTTAAGAAGCCAGGTAGGGATGGGATCTAACTGGCAGGACTTTGTGGCAGTCTGACTTATGAGTTCACCAAGATCTTTCTCAGAGATGGGATGAAATTCTGATATGGTGCAGTCCGGGTGCAGAATTGTATCTTCAGTTGAAGGGGACTGTACACGAAGGTCATTTATGAGCGCCCGAATGCTTTTGACTTTTTCAGTGAAAAAGTTTCTGAAATCGTTGGCAAGGGTACAGGGTGTGTCCGATATTGCCGGTGTATGTTGGGGTGCAGCCGTCAACTCGTTAATAACCAGGAAAGCCTGTTTTGGATTAGCGTTGACCAGTGAGTTTCTGAAGAACTGCGATTTAGCTTCAGTCAAAATGTCATTCAAGGCAGACAGACAAGTGACAGACATACATGGAAAGGCAGAGCACAAACACCGGTGTAAGACAGTAATCAAGGCCGTTATTATCCCTATTACATTGCTTTAGTTTGCAAGTAAAAATTGATTTTCTAGTTTTCTAGCAAAAATAGAGAGAGTGGGTGATGATTTAAGAGAGTTATCCAGACTTTTCCAATCAGAGTGCCACGTTGGACAACACTGTTTTGGACGATGTCGTTCTACTATAGTAATTAAGGCCAAAAAAAAGTCTCCGGTTTCTGGTATGGAGCTTGCCCAAAAAGTGGTGCGGCGACGCGGCTTTTTTTTTTTTTTTTACCTGACTTTTTTGCTTCAAATGACGGCTGATGACTGCAAATGGTGCCCGACTAAACTTAGTGCAAAATGTACGGGAGTCCAGTGAGTCCACATAAAGCTTATTCTCGTTCATACCCCATCTAAAAACACGTTAAAACTGTGCTGCAGCAGAATTCATGTCAAACCAGTGGGTTTGGCGGTTTTGAGACATCATCTTTTATTGAAAAAAAAAAACTTTTTCATTTTGCCGACGCGCAGGGCTACGGCGACGCGCGCGCATACCAGAAACCGGAGACTTTTTTTTGGCCTAACATACCGATTTTTCCTAGTAGTACTGCGGGTATTATATGAATGAACGTTTGAAGTAATTGTCAAACAGGGGTTAAAACAAGCAGATAATGCACGATTCATATATTTATACATACATTTTCCTATGTTAAGATGATACAGATCAGTGAATTTTAACAATTTTAAATTTGTAAATAGAGGCCCAGAGTGTTCACAATAGCCAGTTTTGAAAATCACTCGAACTGCACGTTTCTGTAGAGTAAGCAGTTTGTTGCATTAAGGATTTGGACTACCCCAAGTCAGAATTGAGTAATTTAAATACGGTAGAACAAATGAGTTGTACAAGGTTAGTAATATGCTACTAGGTAAAAAATATTTTAGACGGTTCATTATACAAATTTTTTGTTGTTGATATTTTAGCTGTTATAACGTCTATATGATTCTTCCAAGTTAAGTTTTCATCATTATGTATTCCCGAAGAAATGGTACCCTTAACCTGATCAAGATGAGTATCATTTAAAATTATAGGAACAGACTGAGTGTACTTGTACTGACTAGCAAAAAATATTATATAATTTGATTTGAGAACATTTATACATAATTTATTGGCTAATAGCCAAGTGGTGATTTTCCGGAGCTCAAGATTAAGGTTCTGTACTGCTAAGTCTACATTTTTGTCAGGGGTGGAAAGGACCTACAATGGCTGAAGCAAGACGAAGGGCTGGCTTCAGATTACTGCTGCAAGAACACAACCCAAAATATACAGTATCATTCGTAGTGATTGTTAAAATGAATAGTTAATTTGAGAATGTAATATAATTTCTGTCTGACAATATCGATTTGATTTGGATTCCTTTATTCCAGATTGTATTTGTGTTATATCAACGATTTTTGGAGGTGTTGATATTTCCGGAACTATTAGGTTATATTCATATTTTTTATGCATTCTAGACTAAACTTTAATCGATTATTCTGACTCAAAGAGTGCAAGACGAACAAGAGTCCAGCTATGAACTTTGATTTGTATAAATTGGACTTCAGTAGATATGTATGAAACGTGGTATTTGTATATATTCCACAACATATGATTGACCATTGGCAGCCATTTAGAAAACTAGGGCCCAGTTTAATAACGTTTAATAGAGTAACTTTATTGAAATGGCTGAACAAAATTTATGTTTTCTTATTAATGTATAAAAATGTCGAGGACGTCCTTTTTGAAAAAGGGGGAAAGTGTGACGAGTGTAAAAATATCCCCCCCCTCTATTTTTTGGATCATCTCTATTGGGTTTATTGTCTGTGACTCTTTAGGCTATTTATATTCAAATTAGCTGAGCGCCCTCAACGTCAGGTTTCGGGCACTACTTGCTGCGTCCTAAATCATTCACTCATTGTTGAAGACCGAGCTGACACTGTCATTTTCTGTCTTCGCCAATACAGAATAAATTTGCCGATATCTCCTCAAGAACTTTGTCCGGTCCCCCATTTTAAAAGTGCCATATCAGTATATAATAAACTTGTGTCATCTGAAAATAAGCAAAATGTAATAGTGTCAGAAGTGTTGCAGATGTCATTAATGTACAAGATAAACAATAAGGGACCCAATACAGAGCCCTGTGATACATTGCAAGTTATAGGCTGCTCTGTTGACGTTACAGAATTATACAAGACATACTGGGATCCGTCAAATAAATGACTTTTAAACAAGTCTAAGGCTATTCCTCGGATACCATAATGTTCTAATTTACGAATCAAGATATCATGGTTAACTGTATCAAATGATTCCGATGAACAATAGAAACACTTTGTCGTCTATATCATTACACAATTTGTTAACTACATGAGATGTCGGTAAATCAGTAGAGCGATTACGTCTAAAACCAAAATGTGATTCCGAGAGACTGTCATGTTTATACATAAAAGACATTAATCGTGAATATATTAACTTTTCAAATAGTTTCGAAAATGTTGATAAAACAGAAACGGGTCTATAGTTTTAAATATCATGTTTCGAGCCTTTTTATATATCGGTATAACCTGAGCTATTTTTAACCCATCAGGAAAAACTCCAGCTGAAATTTGTTGAAGCTGGGATTTGTTGAAGACGTCAGCCAGCGGTTTAGCCAATGAATACTTGGCCTGTTTAATAACAAAAGAGTTCATTTCATCAAATCCAGGTGCCTTTCCAGGAAGAATTTTGTTCAGAGCGTCCACAATCTCTTCTTGCGTAATGGGAGTCGAAAAGAGTGAATTCGAACGCCTTTCACTTAGGAATGCCTCAATAGGATTGTTACTTAATGGTAGCTCAGCTCACTGGCAAGTTTACTTCCTATGTCAACAAAATACGTGTTAAAGGCGTCAGCAATTTCTTTGCTATCAGTGATTTTGTTACTATCAGTACAGAAATACGTAGGGTTCATTTTTTGTTTACGCCTATAGAGTAGTGAATTTATAAGGTTTCCAAGTACCTTAATGTTATGTTTTTTTTGTTGATTAAATTTTTTGCTAAAATAATTTGTCTTTGATGATTATATAACAGAGTTAAGTTTATTTTTATACAAAGTATAATTAGATTTGTTCTGTGAAGTACGGTTTTTAAGAAACCTCTTGTACAAGTGGTTTTTCCTCTTAATAGAATTGTAGATACCCTCAGACATCCACGGTGACTTTGATTTATCATAACGATACTTAACTTCAGCCACAGGAAAATGTCTGTCATAGAGCTGTTTAACGAAACATCTTCAAATCTGGAGATCGTCATGATATTCATAACTACCGACCGATTTCTATCCTTCCTTGCTTTTCAAAAATTCTTGAGAGACTTGTTTATAATCACCTATCCAGATTCATTTCTCGCTTCCACCTCCTTTTCGATCATCAGTATGGTTTTCGCAGCAAGCATTCCACAGACATGGCTCTCATTCAGGTCATCGACAAACTCACTTCTGCCTTAAATGATAAAATGAGCGCCATTGGAATCTTCATCGATCTCTCTAAAGCATTTGATACGATTGATCATTCTATCCTTCTGTCTAAACTTGAGTTTTATGGAATTAGAGGTGTTGCCCATGAGTGGCTTTCCAGTTATATCTCCAACAGACAGCGGTTTACCTTTGTTCATAATTATTCTTCGTCTAAGCAAGGTATTCTTCATGGTGTTCCTCAAGGCTCTATTCTTGGTCCCCTTCTATTTCTTCTGTACAATAATGATCTGCCTAGTTCTTCTTCGTCCCTCTCTTTTACGCTTTTTGCTGATGACACCACCCTTCTGCACACCAGTCCCAATCTCCAGTCTCTTGTCAATTCCCTAAATGCGGAACTTAATAAAGTTTCCTCGTGGTTCAGGGCAAATAAGCTTTCCTTAAATAATGGCAAAACGAAGTACA